ACTGTGGTGGGTGAGTGCATGGACTTGTTCCTCCCTCTGGTTGTCTGGCACTTTGGGTCTCTGGAGTGTGATGTGGGAGTGGAGGGAGGAGCTTGGCTGCTGGTCTGCCTGATAATTATATCATTTTATGTTGGGCAAGTAGTCAGGAAGATGAGAGGTGCAGACTCCCCAGTGCCAAGCACAGGGGGATGATCCCACCCCTAACCCTGCTGGCTACACTAGTTCCAATACAAGCCAGGCTGCCATTTGTCTTCTTACCCATCTGGCACCCTGCTCACTCATATTCAACTGGCTGTCAACTAGAACCCCTGAGTCCTTCATGCATCAGGCAGCTTCTCCACCAGTCATCCCTCAACCTATAGTGTTACATGGGTTTGTGGTGACCCAAATGCAGGCCCTGGCCTTGGCTCACCCATTGGCCTTGGCCCATTGATCCAGCCTGTCCAGCTTCCTCCATAGAGCCTCCCTAACTTCAAGCAGACAGCACATCCACTGAACTTGGTGCCATCTGCAACCTTACTGAGGGAGCTCTTGACCCTCATCCAGATCACTGATAAAAGTTATTACACAAAACTGAGCCCTGGGGAAGAAACACTTGTAACTGGCTACCATCTGGATTTAACTCCATGCACCACCACTCTCTGGCCCTGGTCACCCAGCCAATTTTTTTTATCCAGCAAAGTGTATATCCCTCCAAGCCCTGAGCAGCCAGTTTCTCCAGCAGGATGCTAGAGGAGACTGTCAAAAGCTTTACTAAACTCCAAGTAGACAATATCCTCATCCACTGACTGAGTCACCTTGTTGTAGATGTAAGGACACAAGATTTTAAGTATTTATTTATATTAAATCTCTTTTCTCCAATAATATACAGTTTGCATAATAATATACTGTTTACTCTTTACCATTGGTACACAGTGAGCTCATTAAAAAAAAAAGGCAACTATCAAAGCCTTTGCAAATATAGTTAGAATTTATTCTTGTTTTCAGTGATAATTAAAATAGGTTTTCACAATTCCCTTCAGCTGTTTCTGCTCTTGAATCAGCCGGTGCTCATTAGGCCATCTCTTCTGCTTTACTCAGTTCTTCTTCAGCTCCCACATCTGCCACCTCAGGGAGACAGAAAGCAGCATCCCTAGCTGAGAGCTTTTTCATTTTGATGTTTGGCAGTTTCTTCAGATCACCATCCCATTCTCTTAAAGGAAAAAAGAAATAATGAAAAACTATTACCAAGAGAAATAGAAGAATGGCAGAGCTAATTCACCTTTCCTCACAAGATGCTACCTCAAGTGAGGCTGCTCTTCTAAATTCTATTTATCAGCCTCACTGCAGTATGAGTAAACACCAGCCTTTCCACCTCATCTTGTGCACTACAGCAGCTGTAATTTCCCTGTGAAGAGAGACACTTTCAGATCCGACATTTTGATGAGAAAAGTGTATGATTCACTTAATTCTCACAGACAATTTGTATCCCAGGTACTTTAGGCCACCTGCTTGTAGGTTTGACACACTAAACTCACAGTCCTCTAAGCAAGGGGAAGGCTTTTTGGAAGAATTTCTTCATCTGGATGCTCAATTTGCAGAGCTGTTATCACATGTATATGAAGTCCTTCATTATGATTTATGGTGATTCTTAACATCTGTTAACAACTTGTATGACTGAGTTCAAGAGGACACAAAGTATTATAAACATTAATTCACATAAGTATATTATTTCAAAAGGCTGTGTGAAGGAGGAAGGGTTCATTTAATAAAGTAGCCCAAGTCAAATACTGTACTCAATTAATAGAATGCTTTGCTTTCTTCATTATAATAAGTGCACTTCATGGATAATTTTTCTCAAGGGCAAATGTCTTTTTGCCATTTAAAAGATTACCCTTTTTGCAGCACTAGGGTATTAAAAGAACAACATCTCTATCCCAGTACAAGAAGTCAATTGTGTATTTACAAACACAGAAGCCAGTGGCCTGTCTGTGCTTTTGAGACTTCTGGCTTTATGCCAGCATCCCATAAGTGTGGCTTCTGGCTGCACAGGACTCCTAGTAATTAGCAGTTATAGCATTTCTTGCAAAAGAAAGTCTTTTTTTTTCCTTTGAAGTGTCTCACTTCACAGAGTTGTCAGCAAGAGTGTTTTAGTCAATCCATTACCCAGGCATATTAGCTTGCTGGCCCAGATGAGCCAGCAGCAAGTCTCACAGCTCCCAGATCTCTTAATTGGACGCAGCTCATCAATTCACTTAAGATTTTCAACTAGCATATACACACAAACACTACTGTACTACACCAGGAGTTGTATCTCAGAAAGCCAAGAACCTAGTGCTGGTTTAGTTACTTACAGTTAGAACTTAAAGAACATAGGTCACCATGTTACGTGACTGTTTCAGGTAAGAAAGCAGTATAACCCCATTTATCAATAAGTCTATCTCTTCATCCTTAAACACTAACAGAAAATGCTGTAAACCAGTGAACAGTGGAGAATTTTAGGTAAAGAGAAAATATTCTGTAAGAATATTGAAAAAAAAATTAAGTTTCAGAAATGGAATGCTGAATGTTGAAGCCTTCTAACCCTCCCAGGGTTATGCTGAACTGTCACCAGTGTTTAGCTCCTAACAGCCAAGAAATGCAGAAACAGCAACACCACCCTTACTCTGCTTTCAAATGGCAAACTGAGTTCTACAGGGATTCTTTAAGAAAAAAGCCATACAACATGTCAAACTCAGAAACTGTTTTGCATAAAAAAAAAGATTAGCATTGATAATAAAAGACCTTACCTGAAAAATTTTAGATGCTTTCTGTTCATAATGTCTGGGATTTCTAATGGGAATTAAATTAAATGCTATTAGATATGTTACATTGTTCAGGTAAGTCTAACTGCAAAGAAAGAAACGTGAGCTGTAGGGTTGGGCATGTTATTTCAGGGATTACAACACCAAGAAAATGAGAATGAGGATTCATATCAGAAAGTTTGTACAGCAACATAAAAGCAGGAAGACCTCTCACTGCAAAAGAAAAACACCCAGGAACCATTCCAGAACTCAAACATAGCAGTTCCTGAAAACCCAGTCCTGACAAATAATAAAAAGACTGTGCTCCATTTTCTCTAAATTGACATTCGAGAAATAACGTTTTAAGTACTTAAAGTTTCCCTTTAAAAAAAGTCCAGTGAAGAAACTAGAAAAATTATTAATTTGTTATTTGTTTTAAAAGCCTGCCTAACACCCTCAACTGTGATCAAGGTCTGATTATGTTTGTTTTTAACAGACATTCACTGTCCCACAATAGACAATTCTGCTCTGCAGAGCTTGCTATACAGATGCACAACAGATAAAAGGGAAAATAAGAGATCTTCTGTAAGATGAACATGCTTAGGAGAGAACATGCAAGGTAATTAGAAGCAAATTATCAAAAATGTATAAAGTTCGGATGAAATAATGATGGTGCTTTTCAGCTGAAAGCATGCTGATGCTGGCTTCCTGTAATATCTAGAATTCCCTTTCAATAGCTTTGCTATAAACATGTAAGACCAGATTAAAAAAAAACCAGCCATACACAAATGACAAAATCAGGAAGAAAACTGCAGTACAATTAATGTATGTATGTTTAAGCAGTAAGAAAGTGACAAAAAACTGCTAACAAAACAATACAACCCCAGACAAACTGAATATTCCCTGCACTTTTTTTTTTGAAGACTAAAATTTACTAAATTATGATTTTGGATAACTATCACTTTTGTAAACAGCCAGTAAAAAAAATAAAAAATTCATTTACATATAGATATATAGCTAGATAGATATGTGGCATCAAATTTTAGGACATTCCTAAATGTAAACATTACATATCATGTGGTTACTTCATAGCAGATGCACATCCATACAAGAAATACCTGAGTTCAAGAACAGAGGGGAAAAAAGCCCAACAAATACTAAGTCACTTATGAAAGTTCCATTGACTACAGCTTCCAGGGATAATAATGAGCTAGAGCACAGAAGCACAGTTTCCAGCTGAGTTCCATTTATCCCCCATCTCTAATTACAGTATTTAGCAGCAGCTATTTTCTCGGAATGAATATTGTCCTAGACAGAGAGCAAACCCTGCAGCAGCTGTGATAACAAATCATAAATGATTTGAGAGTGTACTTAATATGTGAAGTTGCACCATGCTCTCTGAATGCTTTACTTGCTAATGCTATAATAGCCTCAATTTTGCTGATGGTATTTCTGGATTCTTCTTTATTTTTATGTTGTACTTGTGCATTTGACATCTTCCCATCTAGCCCTAATGCTTTTTTCCTGTCAGCATTCCACAGAGCAGCAAGGAACACAGGAAGAACTAAAAGTTAAAAGCAAAACCAAAGTGGAGGTCTTCTACAGTTGAGCCATTTGATGACATTCAGATACCTATTTTCCTACAACTTTCCCTCCCACCCCTTCTAAGAAATAAAGATTACATATGAAGTCATACAGGTACTCCTGAATTCCTCTGCCACTGCAGCTTGTGAAAGTACTAAGCAACAATGACAACATTTTACAGCCATTTGTTTTCTCTACTGGTACAGTATAAATGGGTGGATAGGGGAACATGATCCACAACCCAGATCTTGCTTTGCTTTGTATCCTAAGCACAGAACAATGTAGATATCTCAGGTCTTCCATGACATACTTTCACTTCTAGAAGAACTAACTGTATCTGAATAACACTTTGGCATTAAAGCCACGTTCATTGCTCAGCTCCCACACACTTATTTGTATAAAGCAAAATACATAAATTTCACTACTAGTTTGTAGTCGACTCTCCTCAAAACAATGCTTTGCTTTTTGCACTTTCATTATCCTTTTGTCTTTCTTCCCTGTTTCACCAGGTTACTGCTGCTTCCCTTCAGCCTAGTTCCCAGTGAGCAAACTTTCAGCCTCCTATTTCATTTGTGTACTACATCCAAAACTAGGAAATACTTTTAAGAAGAATTAAAGTGTTTCTTCTTAAAGAAGACTATGCACCTTAGAAGTAAAATTTTCAGCTCCGGTGCTTATGTTGTGCTTTTCACATGTAACTGCTCCTCAAAAAATTTCACTGGCACAGACAGCTACCCCAAAAGAAGATAAATGGTAACAAAAAAGTCCACAAAAATATCTGATGCTACGATTTTACTCAAGCTTGTGATAATAGCCAAGGTGAACATTTTCCTATGAAAGCACTCACAGTGCTTTCAACTAGGCTCTGAGCTACTTATTTTCCATTCCAAATCTTCAGAGGTTTTGTTGGGTTTTGATTACTAAGAGATTATGTGTTAGGGCCTTCACACAATGAGCACTTACACTCCCTCTAGTAAATAAAAAAAAAGACATGCAACTCCTTTGCCCAAGAAGAACAAGAGGGAACATAGGGGGATCTTGTGCATTATCATTTATGCATGAACAATAAAGCTTGTACAGTAGATGTGTCACAATAGCCCAGGACTTCTGCCTGGAATGCCTAAATTTTAATAGACGAACTCTAGAAATACACAAAATTTGGAAATAGGTCAGTATTATAATTTCTGCTGCAATTACCCTCCCACGTGAAACGTATCTCAACCTTAGAATGAGAGGTCTCTCTCTGAAGATGTTTTAGGCCCACGAGTTCAGAGGCTTTGGTTCTCTTCAAGTTCATGAACTCAAAAGCCCAGTCCCTAAGGATACGGAACCTGCTGGAGTTCCTCACGGCACTGGTCCACCCTGGTGGAAAGGAGCAAGTCAGGCCAGATGTTTATCCCCAACAGTGACTTTGTGTATTATCAAAAGAATGTTAGAGAAAGCTGTATATAAAGACTTCATTGGCACAAGGCCAGCTAATAAAGCCTACATAAAAAATGATTTAATTTGCAGAGAAAGCAATGCTGGTTATATTCCCCATGTGAGCAAATAAAGTCTTCATGCTGAAGCTTTTTAAAACATGCATGCCCACTGAAATGCACTGTTAGAATAAAAACCACTTTGTATAGAATGAGGATCCAAGCAAGCTGCTGAACAAAATGTGTGTTTGAGACAGGTGCATTAAATCATACTTCAGTTTCAAAAATGTTATATGTGTCTGCACTAGAGAGGCAGTACTAGCAAAGATGCATGAAGGCAAAGTAATAAAGCAGAACTGTAGATTAGATCTCTGCCATCTTTTTCCTCCTTTTCTTCACCCTGTCCCTCCTCCCAAATGCCTCTGCAAGGCATGAATACCTAGTGGTTAGTTAATTCCTCTAGAGACATAAAATAAAAGATAATGCCTAGAAATTTCACTTAGATTTTAGCCTTCTGAAGAGGAGGAGAAGGTGTGACCCCAGGCTGATGTCTAATGCTTTCACCTACCCATCCCATAGCCCTGGTAGAGCTGCCTCTCACGTTCTATGGTCTGCTTGATGACAGTTTCCCGTGAACCGTGCTGTCTTCCTTGTCTGCCCTTAATACTGTTCTGTAATTCAATCTGCTCCAATTCCTCATCGAACCGACACATATACCTGAAAGAAACAAAAAGCACTTATGCTAGATGCAGTCATGAAAAACCTTGGAAAACAATTACTTTAATAATCTAAGAACTTCTGTTACTATTTGTACTTATTTTCCAAATTAATAAAACAAGTTTCTTAGAATTGAACTACTACTTTAATCTGCAAAGTGGGAGCTCCATTTAGAATTTCATTTGAATCATATGCAGCTTGCAGAAGGATTAGAGTTTTTATCTGCCTTTTTTGTTTTTTTTTTTCAAACATGTTTAAACTTCATGTTTGCATAAAACAAAACTCTCACATGCTTATAATTCACCTGCTCTGGAAGACCACTGTTAAATTCAAGTATTCCTAACTTTTAATTGCTGAATTTCACCACCTCGATAATAATTTTTAAAGTAAAGTTCTTCTTTGCTTGTGTACTTCATCATCTCTCAAACAGCCAACCAAAAATCTAAACAGTAAGCTTTTATTGCCTTTGCAGTATCACCAGCATTCATCAGCAGTTTACAGGCTTCATGAGCAGTTGTAGGAAATATGTCAGAGCTTCTGAAAGGAAACTGATAACAGTACACCTGTAATAATAATACTTATGTGATTTAGCTGGCAGGTGAAAATGGTGACAAATCACAGGCACATACATCCACCAGCACAGAAATAACTGAGTCTCTTCTCAGCAGATTCAATGTTGGTATTGCCTGCCCTAAAAATTGATCCACTTGACTCCTGCTTAATCTTTTCAGCAAAGAAAATTAAAGGAGTAAGCAGAATGAAATCTGCATGTTTCAGTGGCACTGAATAACTCAACTAGCAAATTTATGCAGTTGCTACTGTTCAAATCATTAGTCCTCCACACACTACAAAAGCAAAGATATACTTAATAAAAAAAAAACAACAAACAACACAACTTACTTCATTAATTCCAGTGTGAATATATACATCTTTCAACATAAAAGGAACCTCAGCTGCAACAAAATCAACTATTCGATATGAATAGTTATATACAAAATGTCCTTCCCTGAGTCATCATCACAGTACAGATGTTATTTAAGAACATTACTTTAAAAGACAAATCCAGCTTTTTAATCCCATTTTTAACGCTAGTCTTACTTTTCAATTAGCTCACCAGCCTCCCTCTTGGTGTATTCAATTTTGTCAGGGTCAAGGTGACTTTGAAACCATTGCAATTTTTCTCCTGCAAGAATAAACTTAACATTAATGACTATAACATCACTGTAGCACCAACACAGATTAAAGTTCTTCCAAGTTTTAGAAATAACCCCCCATTTTTCAAGATTTTGAATGGCATCTTAAGATTTACTAATGTAACAGGTATGAAGGTAGCTGTAATAGAAACATTCTCATATAATTTCAGATGTATTTTATGCCTTCCTTAGACATAAAACTAGGTTACACTTTGCTTTACTAGAAATTAGTGTTTAAAATATCCCTGTATCAATTGATTAAGGTGGAAACTCAGCAAGGCCCCACAGGGGGAAAAAAACGCCAACACCATGGCCAAGCAAAAGTTCAAATCATCACAATTTTTAGACAAATGACACTGAAAAGGAGCAGTGTCAATCATAGGAAAGATAAAAGTATTCTAACTGTGTCTCAAAGTTTTGAACTTACTACCGCAATGTGTCTGTTACCTATATCTACCTCTTTTACAAGCAATTAAAAACAAAAAGCCTAGGAAAGATAAAAGTATTCTAACTGTGTCTCAAAGTTTTGAACTTACTACCGCAATGTGTCTGTTAACCTACCTATATCCACCTCTTTCACAAGCAATTCAAAAAAAAAAGCCTGAAGAGAAGCACAATAAATGTGCACACAGATGTACAATACACAGGTTTGGGCTACCCTGCCCTGTTACCCTGCACACTGACTGAAGATCAGGCTGCACTGAGCCCCAGCGACAATCCCGAAGACACTACTCGAGGGAGCATGACAGGTACTTCAGCATTTCCACAAGATCTATTTTAGGGCTACAGAGTCAGATTACAGAAAGAAATTAGAGTATCTATTAAGTTGGTAAAACTTAAAATCTACGCTTACAAAGTGGAATACTACAGTCAGTAACAGAAGCTTCTGCTCACCAATGATACTCAAACGCAAGGCTTTGTCAGTCTTCAACCTAGCAGAGAAAAAGATAAGTTACCCAGGAATAAGTACCACAGAAATAATTACTTTCATTTACTTTCTCAATAAAAAAAAAAAAATCTGTTTTTTGAGTTACAAGGAAAGTCAAGACAAAATATCACATGGAAATATTTGTGGAATTCAGAACAATGTAAAACTTGTTCTGCTTCATCGAAAAAATTCTACTTTTTGGCAAAACTATTATCCAAAATTTGTCCAGTTTACCTATTAAGTTGAACAATTTCTTGGAAAAAATCAGGAACATTTTCTTAAGAATACAGCAAAAGGAATTTCACAGAAGACCTGCATTGTGATAATTTGAATATTGACAATGTTCTGCTGCTATGCTTGATGGGTTTGGGGATGAAGAACAAAAGACTGCACTGCACTCGTGCAAATTATCGTACAATGTGAAAAATACCATCCTGGTATTTAACAAATATATAAATAAATATTTAATAATAATTATAGTTTGTGCTCAACGAACAGTAAAAGGTAATGTGTTCAGAAACCAAAATGAACACCTTTATAAAAAAAAAGACAAAAAGAAAATCCATATTGAAGCATTTTTAAGTCCACCTCAGCCTCTGCTGGGACGCCTGAAGCCTCCTGTACTCTATGGGATATGTGTACACAATTCAGTTTGGGACCAATTCCCATCCTATTGAGCATGTATCACAGAACACAGATTTGCTAACAGGTAATGCAGAACTTCACACATTTGTGTCCTGTAGCTCTCAGATTCAGCCCCCAGCAATCAATGCTGCTGATTGTCACTTTATTTCCCAAAAGCAAAATAATACTTTGTTGGGAGAAGTATGAAATTTGTCACTGGAAAAAGGTATCTTAGTCATTCATGTTGAGAGTATATATTCAAGGATTTCTGACAAAATTGACTTTCAAAATTATTTAATAAGAAAACTGCTAAAGGATAAAGAAAATCATAACAGAGACCATTAACAAACCACAAATAACCCCAAAATTCAACACAGTACAAAGCTAAAGTGCTCCTTCATTAAATTCCTTGTACTCTGAGCAACCTGATCTAGTGGGAGATGTCCCTGCCTATGGCAGGGGGGTTGGAACTAGATGATCTTCCAGGTCCCTTCCAACCCTGACAATTCTATGATTCTATAGAATTTAGTGAGCATTTTAGAGTAACTGAAGTAACTCAGAGCACAGAAGTCTGAACCTGTCACAAAAATTCACATCAAAAGTGAAAGCCCTGCTTTCCAGAGACAAACGTGCTCGTGTCACTTGCCCACAAACCTGCATTATTAAAATAAAGACTAGCTTTTTCAAGAAATGTTTCATCCTCTGCAGAACATCTAAAATCCACATAAAAGCAAACACAGCATGTGTGAGCTACTAAGAATTCCATTAATGCATTCAATAAGTCTTTTTACTTCTATAGCTACCCCAGCATCTATAAAGTCTATAGTCTATGGGGTTTGAGTTTTATCACACCTGCCAAAACTACCACCAAGCTGGCTGAGTATTAGAAGATTTTACTGCTAAAACAAATTACTCTTGTTCCTGTGGGTTAAAGGACAGACCTGGATGAAGCTACATAAAAAAAATGGGCAAAACGAGCTAGATTAGAAGTCAGCTTTAAAACTCAAGTGTAGAAAGATGTCTTCAATAAAAATTGTGGTGGGAAGGTGCCTAATCCCTAGGTAGCCTACAGAGGGCTTACAGCAGGGAGTTTTGAAAGTAGTAATGCCCAAGAAAAGGACACATATTTCACATAGTGGAACTCCACAGCAGGAGTCCCTGCTGTGAACCAAGCACAGTAACACAGACAGGTGAGCACATCTGCAGAGCATTGCCATGGAGAAAACCACAATGCCTTTGAGAAAAGCTGCCCCATTAGAATTGTGAGCCATGTCACTTATCTCTGCTTTAAAGCACTACACACTACCATTTGCCCTTGTAAGGATCACTACCTCATTTATTTATCAAGATGATGAAGCATATAACCAGGTTTTATTCTGGAAGAAAAACCTTCCGTCTCTAGGTGTATACAACTTATACACCTCTAAGAATTAATGAACTGTAGGATCAGCTGTAGCATTATTGTACTTTTACAACTGTGAGAAGACAATAGTATTAGCAGGGAGCCTAATCACATCAGGCAAGTCAAGAAAAACCCCTCTCATCTCCTTCCATGCAACGAGTAACATGTTTTGCTCAAGGAAAATAGGTGAGGACAGGGATACAATCTTGTGGCAGGCTGTTGCTTCTTAATGATCTTCTCCACCACCAAAGTGCTGGGCTTTAAAGCCCCAGCCCTGAATGAGGGTTGGCTCATTCATGTGGATGATGTCCGCAACCAGGCAAGAAAGCCCCTCCTGACTGGTTTTCACCCAGGCTCCACAAGCCTTGGGTGGGAACTGATTAGGAGATCACTGCCAGGTGCCCCCCCCTCCCACATTAACTTGGAGGCGGGGCAAGGAGCCACCTCTAGAAGAGATGACTCTACTTATAGGGGGTTTGGGAGGTTTTTTTACACAGTCTACATGCTGTGTGAGGGTTCTGGTTATTGGAAGGGCTCTCTGAGTCTTCACAGCAAGTGTAGTTCCCAGTATGGAAGGGCCAGAGCATGGTCTCTTGAGTCCCTACTGTATAACATGGCTCATGGCCTGACTGCTACCATTGCCCATGGCTTGGCTCCTTGCCTGGCTTGCTCCCTCCTTCACGTCCACTGTGGTGGGTGAGTGCATGGACTTGTTCCTCCTCTGGTTGTCTGGCACTTTGGGTCTCTGGTGTGTGATGTGGGAGTGGAGGGAGGAGCTTGGCTGGTGCTCTGCAGCCAGGCTGTTAATGATAATATCATTCTGTATTGGGCAAGCAGTCAGCAGAAGAACCACCTCCTCTCAAAAATCATCTGTGTAAGCACTGATTATTGATAAGGATGATTAGTGGCTTTTTTTATGTTTCCCAGATACTTCAAAGTTTAAAGACTTCATCAGCAATTCTCTCTCTCACTTATTGTATTCAACTGTTTTAAGGTTACTGCTTATTCCTAAGGGAATGCCAGATCATGGAATACTGTAAAAAATTCTTAGCTCTCCTAACTCTGAGTAGGACAGTATTAGGCTGCTGTATTTTTAATGGAAATGCACAGATTCATTAAACAATACAATATATGTGCAACACAAAGAGTATATTTTGACTCAGGAGGGAAACTGGCAGAAAACAATCCAGTGCTAGGTCAGCTTTAGCTACCAAAACCAGGTAAGAGATTTTAGCAGCTGCAAACCATGCAGTGTTGGTACATCACTACTAAGAGACTTCCAGGAATACCACATCAGTCTGGTTTCCTAAAGTATAAAAAAAAAAAAAATAAATCAGTATTCCACTGGCACCAGTGAATTTTTATTGCCATCTCACAAAAATATCTTTGTTATTACTTAACAAAGAAATTGCCTATAGAGATAAGGATTCATATGCAGATTAAGAGACACCAAATTGGTAATAATACAGTAGAATTTGTTGCTGCTTACTAGACCTCCAGGAAAACTGAAAAGAGTGATGCAAGCAAGAAAAAGGTGCAATTCAAGAGAACACGATGACATGATTGTAGTCAATTTTACAAAACAATTATTTCATGTTATTATGGTCAAGATTGGTCTTTTGTAGTGCAGTCAGTTTCTGGACAATAGGCTTATTATTACTGTCATATTTCACTGAGGACACTTTCATTGAAGAGCACCTGGACAATCGAGCCTGTAAAAGATGTCTGCAACTTAGAGCAGGATTTCCCCCTCCTTTTTCCTTTTCCCAGTACTATGTGAAGTATTGAACCTCCCTGTGCTTAAACTCTTCTCTTTGTTACCATCTTGTTTGGGCAAAAGATACTTGAATATGCATTTCATAACCCAATGCAATTTCATTTCCTGTTTGTGTTAAACTAGACTGTTGATGGTAGTTCTCTCTCTTCCTCCATCATACAGAAGAGTTAAAAAGTAAACAGAGGCATGAACTATCTCTAGTCCTGAATCCTGTCTCCAGCCAAGTACCCATGGGGAAAAAAAAAAGGTAAAAAATGCACAAACCACACAAAACCCAAGCAGATGTTTACTGATAAGTCTACAAAAGACATTTTCACCTTCCAGTAATGTGCCATTCAAGGGCCTACTATACCCAAGGTAATGTCTTTGTATCAACCAGTAATCAACAGAAAATGTACAGATGTTCAAAAGTATTATTGCACAAATTCAGCCAACCACCATCACAGCATCTTCTGGAAAGTAAATTCACAGCTTAATTAAGATTCATATAGATGAACTATATGAAGTTCCTAGGTTTATTGATTGTCTCTGATCCAGTTTTTCTGTGCTGTAGAAGGGCATTAGCCTGTACAGAGAAATTATCCCCTTTATTCAGGGCTGGTGAGATCTTATTGGGAGTACTGCCTCCAGTTTTGGGCCATCCCCACATTTTTGCTGCTGTCAAGGTGACTCCAGTAGCCCAAAACTCCCTGACACTACTCTGAATATCCTGAAAGCAGTAAACTTTTCAGCTGTTCAGCAAAAAAAACACCCATGTTAGAATTATGCAACAGTACTTGCATACTATGACTTGCCTCATCTAGCTGCCTCAGTAACAAAGCCTACTCAGTACAAAGCCAGCATCTTTTCATCCCTTTCCATGAAAAGGATGACCTAATTACTGCAATATTAAGGCATTAAGCAGAGAAATGAATGGTGCATTTGGTACTCTCTTAACTGCAACAAAATGAGATTGCCTCGTGCAATCTCTAACATATAAAATAAAACCTTCTCTGTGAAGAAAAGTAAAGAGCAACTTAAAAAGGAGAATACTGTTCCAGTGGGAGTTCTTTAACTGCCTGCTGTAACAAGAGGAACCAAAAGCAGCACTCTTAAGAAGAGATGTCAGCACAGGTGTCTGTATCAGTATAACTCTACTCACAAACTCTAGAAGATTTGATTCTGTGAAGAAAAGAGCAACTTAAAAAGGAGAATACTGTTC